CCCCAGACATTATTAATTAGTTATCACTTTATCTTAAGTCTCAAGTATACATCCCATTTGAAATACTAGTATACAGTAAGTCAATCACTCGAAGGTTTGAGATAATAATATTGTGGAGATTGTTTAGGACAATAAATGAGTACAATCGATGGCCACGTCTATAGTTTTAAATTGTAGTTGTCGATTCTGACAGCCATTGTGTAATGTTTAAAATCATGATTAGATCCATCACTCATGGATCCAAAAATATGTATAGCACACTTACCTGCAGGGTCCTCCATGATTCACATGCCATACAAAAGCACATTTAAGCCAATTCAAAAGCACATTTCATAGTGGAAACATGGTTAAGTTTGATGGGAATTATATTGGGAAAAGTCACCATATAACCTATACCTTTATGGCTTACCCAACATAACCTATACACCTTGAATAATGTATTTTTTTGGTTAGGGACCTCTTCATTTCTAAAAGTGTGCCCTAAATTATATGGTCACTCTTTATATAGATCGAGGGATGGGTGAGTGAGATAGAAGGGTATAGATCTTCAAGCATTTTTTATGCAAGGATCATCTCAATCAATGAAGAGCTAAGTACATGTTTCTCTATTTGTTTTTAATAATAAAAGTGTAATTTCATTATAATTAAATGATATATGTATCATTGAAATTTATATTTATCTTTGTTTTTTTTCTGTGAAAGATTTGTCTCTCTAAGAATCATAACTAGTAATGGAATGTAGAACCATATGAAGATAAACTTGGAAAAATGAAATGAAAGTAATAAATGTTATTGGTAAATTGTAACTAGAACATTTGACTTGTTTTCTTTGCTATTAGAAAAAGAGAAGAGGAAGAAAGAATCGTACATATAATTTCAAGAGTCAGATAAGATTCAGAAAAGGTAGAAGTACAGGCAATGAAGTGGAACACTTGAATTTCCAAAAAGTTAACACGTGGAAGCTTAGAAGAGGGCTTGAATGGGGGCTACCATAATGTTTTTTTGTTAGTTATGTTTTATGTTTCATGTTTAGTATATATAATAGATTGCGATTATGATTAATCAATTATCTCAATATTGTTTATTTCTAATTCTATATGTATTAATCGATTAACCATATAGTTAATCGATTATCTTGTTAATTGTTTAGTTAGTCAGATTGAACTTTATGTGCGATAATCGATTAATCAACAAAGTTAATCGATTATATGTTTAACAGTTTCTGTTTTCTGTTTTAGTAGTTGTTGTATTTAAAGAGACATTCTCATAATCTTTGTATTCATTCAACAATGATGAAATAAAGAGAAATATTATTCAATAATGAGAAGTGTTATTCAGTTTTGATTCTCATTCTTCATCCTTTCTTCTTCTTGTTTGTTTAAGCTTTCTTGTATTCATGGAGAAGGTTTCATACATTCATACTAAACTTGTAACATTTTTACTTTAGGAAAAAGATCCTTTATCTCAAGTAAATTATGTCTCTGTATCCTTTCAAATCAAATTTCAAAATAATATAAAAATATTAATTTATATTATATGATTTTTTTTAAGTAAATGAGACTTTTTAATTAGATAAGAAGACAAAAATGAGTATATGTTTGCATTTATACTTTACAACCATGGATTCGTGTAATAATTATATGGTGACTTTTGCAACCCTGGTTGTCTCATGTATGTTTAGTCCCTGTACATTGCATTGTTACCTCCATTATCATATACCATAACTTCCCTGTGTGAAGTGACACCTCTCAATTCACACGATCGACTACAGCTAACCCATATATTTTATCGAATAATTAAAATGTTTTATGTAGAGCAAATAATGGATAACTTTGGTTACCTCTTGGTAGTTAGGTATGTATTTTTTTGAAATGTCATGCTGAAATAATAGAACTCAATAAAGTTTTTTTTAGCTTGTTTATGCTTAATATCCTACAACTTTATTCTTGACACAATAACTAGTTATCGTTGAAAGTGATAACAACTTGTGATCAAATATACAGCTTCAATCTTTCTACTTAGAAAGGACTCCTTAGAGCACATATATAAAAAAATTTATACGTGCAAATTTTATTAAAGGAGATACAAAATTACATAGAAAAATAAACAAATATACAACAAAAGAAAAAGGAAATTAAACAACCAACCCCAACCAATAAAGTTAAGAGCCCTAACAATAACGTCCCAAACACAAAGTTGGATTAGTACACCATTCAAACCAAGACATGCTTGTTCTTTTGTGGCTACCCTTGATCTATAACTATGATTTAACTTTATCCCACCCACTAATTCCTCCATACACACGTTTTTATAGTTGAAGATGATGTCATTTTGATACTTTCAAATGTACTACCCTTAACCGGAAGAGCATATATATATAATGTTATGAAGAGGATAATTTAATATGAAGTTAATCATGAAAAATTCAAAGATAGCTTTAGCAACTTATGCAAGCATAATGTGTTCAATTCAACCTGCTTAATCTTTATTTAGTCTAGACCAGATGCTATTCTTTCGGAGGTATGATAGGACTCACACCTCCCATGCTAACCTCACCTTACATTAAATATTCCCAACTAGAAAAATAATGCAGGAATTTCGGTGGACTAATATAAAACCCTAAGTCTACTGTATTACAGAGTAGATAACAGAAATCTTTATCCTTAAAATTAAATACCAGCAAAAATTAAGTAAATAAAGAAAACATTATTTAAAAGCATAATTGTTTCGAGTGCTGTTTGAAATGTGATGATGTTCAGTGACTTAATATTAAAATAATATCTGTGAAAATGACAACAGATATATCTTGATTTTTTGTAAAAATTGCTGGACCTTTCGAGTTTTCAAAAGATATGCCTGAAGTGAAGACTATTATCTATCAAGGGTAATCTTTTTAGGGTAACATCATTGGTAGTCTTAAGAGACTAATTTTATATAAAAAGTGGGCTCTATAATGTTCTAGCATGTCTTTTAGATTCCTAATATGGGTGAGTATTTGAATTTCAAGCTTATGGAACCCATTATGATTTGTTCACTCAATACTACTCTTGTGTCATGTGAAGACTTTTAGTAATTAATAGAGAAACATATATACTGATGTAACATAGTCTTAAAAGTGTGAAGAGTCTAAAGAGAAAGATATTATTATCTTCTAAATTGAGTTTTAATCTCCTAATCATAAGGCAACTGGCTGCATCATAACATTCTTTCACATTGGATCACTATGTAGAAGGAAAATAAACGGTCATAAGACACCATAATCTTTAGCACTATAAGGTTTGAGGTGATTGCTAGAAGAATCTTACATATCAATAATATCGATCCCATAATGGTGCCATTTTATTCATTATGCAAATTATGGCTGCAGAGCAGTACTGCAAGAGAAAATGAAAAAACAGAAATAATACTGCTGAGTATTAATGGAGATTATTAACTCAGCATGATTACTTTTGAACCATTGCATGTCCTAAAAGTAAAGCCACAGGAAGTGTTGGGATAGTGAGGGTATTCCCTTGACCGTTGATGTAATGACACCCAACCCACTTCTCTATTCCTTATTATATATGTCAATGTTCTTTCAAATATTTTATTACACAGACACCTGTGCCTGCACATGACTCATATAAACACGAGTTTCGCGCATACCTAAGATTAAAATATATGTCATAAATAAAATTTCAATGACCTAGATTTTAACATTTTTTAAATTATTTTTTTTATAAAAAATTTCTCCTCTCGCGTACCGAGGAGAGGAATCCAATTCTATTTAAATTGGGCTGATCCTTACATTTTATAGACTCTATGTGGGAAAATGAGTGTCCTTGTTTATCATTATACGTCAAAATTTTAATAAAAATGAGAATTCAAACAATGAGAAAATTAGTATTCTTTATTTATAAAAAGAGTTGTGTAATTTATTTATAATTGATGTTGTAGAAGAATGTTCCTAATTTCAGACGGTGAGATAGACTTGCCACAATAATCTGCTACTATTTGAGTTTCCAACGAAAGAGAGGTAGATGATAATGCTATATCCTGAAGTAAAACGGGCGGAATGTTTGGCGCATCATTTGGTTGGCTACAATTTGGGTTATTGGGTTGCATAGGAATGATATTATCTTCAATCACGTTCGACTTTTTAGTCTTCATCTCTTGAACTCAGCTAGGGTGAATGTTTGACTTTTGATCAATGATATTAGGAGATGAAGTCCATTACTTACTCCGAGTGACTTTCTAACCCTATAGTTTGTCTTAACTTAATTTTGTAACTTTCCTTGTATTTTTCTCTTATTCTTTTTGTACACTTCTTCTATAATAAAATATTGTTTTCCTGATAATAAAAAAAACCTTGAAAATAGCCAGAAACTAGTCCTATTATTATCTCCAATTCTCCAAGTATAATGATTGATATTTGTGTTAGTAATAACTTGCCGGCAAAGTTACCACTATGAGAAATTGAAGGTTATGTGCCTTTGCGCTGTGTGGGTTTCAACATTCTAGTCCACTGCACTCCCCAATCTCCGTCACCGTTTCCAATTTTCGAGAAAAAAATGTCCTTGTCGGCAGCGTATAAAGTAAGAAAATGTACCATGCATTATAAAAATCATTTGTCATAGAAAATTGTGGTTCTTTTTTTGGAATGAAAATTTAAAAATAAAAAAGTCGTCCCTACTAAATTACACACTAAACAGTGTCACACCAGCTATATATCTAGCTTTTTAAACCAGTCTAATTAAGCTGCCGCTTTCATGGTGAAAAATCATTTTTTTTAAAAGAAAGTTTGAAATTAGTATAAAGTCTCTACCCTCAATTATAACGTACCTTTTCTCCTATAAATAGGCTTATAACCCCTCTCATCACCTTCGTCACCATTAATCTGTTTTCTTTCTCAGTTTGTGATTTTTCTTTATTAAGTTTTTCACTTTTCACTTTTAGCTTTTATGCATGTTCTTACATATAGGCAGGGTTTTGGCCCATGGGATGTGTGGTTGAAGAGAGTATAGAAGAATCTGTTAAGCTCAGGAGGGATAGCGCCAACTCGATACTAATGATTTTATCATAGTTTTATAGTTGGCGCTGTCCATCCTGAGTTTCACCGCTTCTTCTTACTGTTTATAATATTACGGCTTCTTCCTAATGTTACCAGATCCATATATAAAGAACGAAAAAGCCCTTGACTTTAATCTCTATTCACTCCCCTTTGGCCTTTTCTCCATCTCTTTTTTTTATACATAGTTTAGTTTACTACATGATTTACTCTGAATTTGAAATCAACATGTTGATGATGAGAAGGGTTAAATTTAGTCAATTTGACTTTCTTAGCCCCGGAACAAGTATCACTCGTCAAATGAAATAGGTGTTTCCATGTCTCAAACCAATCACATTGCACAAAGTAATATAAAAAATGTTATTTGATACTTTAGTTAGGTTTAATTTTTAACTGGATTTAGACATATTTGGGACACCAAAAATGGGACAGGATCTCCATTCTATCTATTAGCTTAGATGCATGCTTTCAAATTCTTCTTGGTCTTTTTAAGATGGGTGGGGGGATTCATGTCAAAAGAAAAGTATACATATGGCAATCGAACGGTTTAGACTTTGAATTTTATTTCTCTTTTGTTATTTGCTACTTGCTAGAACTTACTATTTGACCTGTTTTTCTATTTCTCACTGATATACACAGGGAAAGTCACTGAAAAGAAAGTGCTGCATGATTCAGATACATGTCCGAAATTGTAGTGGATGGTATCTTAGATTAGTGCCTATAGCTACCTTTTCGGTCCCAACTCCAATACAGTGTATAATTTAATTTATAACAAAATAAGTTAAAATCATAATTTTTATTTTCGACACATGTCATAATTCCAATATTGTAGCTGATAAAAAAAATAATTCCAATATTGTAATGGATCGATTGTAATGAAAAAAATCTAAATTCATTTCGGGGTTGACACTTATGTATCTCTTTTTATTTGAATACTATTTTTTTAATCGATTGTATTAGTCAAATTTATCGAGCTAAATAACATATAGAATTTCAACAAATGTTTAGTTAGTTCGATATAATATATTTTTAACTCAATATTTTTATAATTCTTAGAACTCTTTCTAACTTTTGGATTAATAACTTTAAGCCTTGTTTATTTATGATTTATATTTCCTTAGAAATTATTTACATTCATTAGAATTGTTAGAATTAGGATATGAAACATATATTTGATTTTTTTCTAAAATCATACCAATGCTTCAAAAATATTTGATGACATATATTTTTATATAGGATTGATGACATATAATTCAATTTTATTATACTGCTATTTTTAGAACAGTCTATAATTTACACTTTTTACAAATTTATTGCTGTTATTATATGTTTTAACAAAATTCAATTGAGTAGTGAGACTGGACATTTAAGTCAATTTTATATGATCTTTATTCAGTTATAAAAAGGTAATATAATACAACTATGAAGTTTTCCAGTCAATTTTCCAAAAGGAGAATGACCTATACTACAAAGTTTGTGAAGTATATTTTGAAACCAGTTACTGTCTCATGCCTTGACTAGTTGACTGATATTGTCACAAAAAGTAACGAGTTTTCTGAGTAAAGTCTATATTCAACATTCACACAAATTGATGATGGCAGAGGAGAGGTTAGAATTATTGCTTTTATTACTGTTTGTGAAAAGGGAAACCCTAGCTCTTCAGTTTCGTATTAGAGCTAGAAAGCTATATATTTGAGCTTATAATGGAGCTGGTGAGCATGGTATATAGGGTTTCCAAAATATTTTACTCCACCTTTCGCATGCTTTTTCATCTATTATTATAAACGTTTGATTCAATATTAATTCAACCTTCATATGTTTTTCTTGAAGTCCAATGCTGGGTTTAGATTAAAAGAATTAGTGTTTAATATTTAGCATCAAGGATTTATCTCTTGTCTACCCAACTCGTCCAAACTCACGTGTAACATCTTATATGTTTGTACAATTGTACCTGTTTGTTAAGAATAGGGGATAAAAAATTTGAACAAATTAATCATATCTATTTAGTCCAATTAGGTAATGTTCTTCTTTGCAACAACTTATTTACATGTATAATTTCATCTTTTATAAAAGAGAAACAAATATATCAATTGTATGAATTTTATACATTATTAATGCATCATTCACCATTTATATAATTATCATTGATTTTTCAAAAAATTAATTCAAACAAATAATAAATAATGTAGTGACAATGTATAAATTTTTATCATCAATGAAATGTATTAATAAGGAAAAATAAGCTAGGAGAACCCCATAAATATAATTTTTTACATATATTACACTCTTTACAAAATAAAATTTTCTATCTATTTATGACATTATTATGCAAACAACTTATATTAGTGATTTTATAATCTTTTCATCATATAGAATAAAAACACTTAATTGTTGACAAAATATTTGTATGTATCTTATTTCATATATCAAACTAGGTATGCATAAAAATTAAGTAATATTGAGCTGAACATGATATTTCATGCACTAATTAGAAATATATCAAACTAGGTATGCATAAAAATTAAGTAATATTGAGCTGAAAATGATATTTTATGCACTAATTAAAAATATATGTGCTTATGCCTACTCTAATTTAAGTGAACATTGTATGAACATAGAAATGATGACCTTAATTGCCTATACTATTTTAATGACTTATAATTATAAACACTCATGTTGCATAACGGTATTCATCAACTAACTTATAAACACTCATGACTTATAATAAGAGCTTCCCTTATCCACAGCTTATGATTTCAGTCCTTGGGAACAAGAACCTTAAATCTCTTATTTACTCCATAACAACTATTAAGAGAGATTTTATCTCAAAATTTATAGCTTTTATCAAGTAACTTTTTCTTTGTAACTACCGAAGAAGAAAAACCTCTTGTTTGCTTTTATCAACACGCCATACCCGATCTAAGCCCAATAAACCGATCCACCCGATCTAGCCCAATCACTATACTTTTCAGCTCCGATATGAAATCCAACCCAATCCACGTGTGCATCGTCATCTTCAACCTAACTCATCCAAATCATTACCACCCGGCGCACGTTAGCCCCGATCACTATCACCATCTACAACTTCACACTCTCAAATCCCTAACGCCATCCACCACAATGATGGGCTCTGAGAACCAGAGCTTCGAACAACAACAACATCCTCTCTCCGCTTCAACCACTGATCAAATGGAAAATCTCATCCTCCACGATAATCACGATGATTCTTTGAGCGCTATCAATTCCTACTCCAATTACCGGAGCGTAATGTCCACGCTCTCCTTTACCAATCACCCTCTCTCCGCCACCACCACCCTTACTGACTCCGACCCCCTCCTCTCTCCCCCTTTCCCCATATCCCCAAACCCTAACAACAATAACGACAACATTTCGTCTTTCATCGACCCTCCCTCCTACAACGACGCCGTTTTCACCCTCAACGGCGCCCTCGACTTCGATAGCCCCACTGCATCCTCCGAATCATCTCAACCTCTCTCCAGGTTTACATCTTCGAGCTCGGATTATATAAAGATAACCGTCTCAAACCCTATCAAGGAGCAAGAGACCTCTAATTCACTTGTTCCCGGTAGCAATAGTTATGTTACGTATCTGATCACGACGAGAACGAATATACCCGAATTTGGAGGATCTGAATTCGATGTTCGGAGAAGGTTTCGTGATGTGGTCACGCTTTCGGATCGGTTGGCGGAGTCGTACAGAGGGTTCTTCATTCCGCCGAGGCCTGATAAGAGCATTGTGGAGAGCCAGGTGATGCAGAAGCAGGAGTTCGTGGAGCAGAGGAGGTTGGCTCTGGAGAAGTATCTCCGGAGGCTCGCCACGCACCCGGTCATCAACAAGAGTGATGAGTTTAGAGTTTTTCTGCAGGTTCAGGGGAAGCTCCCGCTGCCAGCCACAACCGATGTGGCCTCGAGGGTTCTGGATGGGGCGGCGAAGCTCCCGAAGCAGTTGTTGGGGGACAGTGTGATTGCACCCCATGAGGTTGTGCAGCCGGCGAAAGGGGGAATGGATTTGATGAGGCTGTTTAAGGAATTGAAGCAGTCTATGGTGAATGATTGGGGAGGGTCTAAGCCAGCGGTTGTGGAGGAAGATAAGGAGTTCTTGCAAAAGAAGGAAAGCATTGAAGAGCTTGAGCAGAACATCAATAATGCATCTCAACAGGTGTTATTTTCTTTCGGTTTTAAGTTTCCAATGTTTCTTCCAAATTCACTTTATAAAACCTGCCGTGTAGATGGTAAGTGCTAACATGTCTGCCACATTGTTTTACTGAGTTTATGATTGTATGTTGTTATTCGTTACTATAATTTTCGCATCATTTACCAATTATGTGCAGGCTGAATCACTTGTCAAAGCCCAGCAAGATATGGGAGAAACCATGGGTGAATTAGGTTTGGCATTTATTAAATTGACAAAATTTGAAAATGAGCAGGCTGTCTTGAATTCTCAGAGGGTTAGAGCTGTTGACATGAAAGGTGTGGCAACAGCTGCTGTAAAAGCTAGCAGATTATTTCGAGAACTAAATGCACAGACTGTGAAGCATTTGGTATATAGCATAATTGTTGTCTATTTTTAGCCCCTTCCAATATCTAAAAGGCCACTCTCTTAATAAAGGGCAGCCCACTAAATATGTTTTTTTTTTCCAATTTATGTGTCGCAGGATATACTTCACGAATATCTTGGACTTATGTTGGCTGTCCATGGTGCGTTCTCAGATCGCTCAAGTGCACTATTGACAGTGCAGACCCTTCTATCAGAACTATCTTCTTTGCACTCAAGAGCGGAAAAACTTGAAGCAGCATCTTCTAAAATTTTTGGGGGTGACAAATTAAGGATTCGTAAATTAGAGGAGCTAAAAGAAACCATAAAAGTCACTGAAGACGCTAAAAATATTGCGATTAGAGAATATGAGCGGATCAAGGTATGGTTTAAATCTTTTAGAATTTAATTTGTGTCATAAATTAGATAGGTTGACTCCATACATCTTTAACCTTTAAGGATAGTGTGTAATCCAGAACGGTATATGCTTCAAGTTTGAAGTTTGTAAGACTATTTTGACCAATGTTTTAAAAACTGGACCAGTGGAGGTACTGGTTCAAGGTTCATTGGTGTGGTCAAAACGGTGGTGATAAATATGTTATTTTTAAAATTGTATAATATGTTTAATAACATTAGCAGTACAATACTATATTATATAAGTATTCATAATATAATAATGATACATCATTCTTTTTCATGGAATCAATTCGTCTGCGCATCAGTCCATTTTCTCCCTTTTCATTCATCACAACAACTCCATCTTCTTCATTTTTCATTGTACTGAGCAACCATGTTATTATTCTTAACCAGTCCAAACTGTTATACCCCCAGTTTTAACGGTTTGGCACTGGTTTATCCTGTTTGACACTTGTTTTCGGTGTGTCCGGTTTTGATTGTGTATTGGACTGGTCACCTGGCCTCCGGTCCGGTTCTTCAAACCATGAATTTAACAAATTTTCTCTTTCAATCTCTTAATCTATATCTACAAAATTTGAAATTTGAGCATTGATTTACACTAAGATGTTTTTTCCAAAGTGATACCCATCTAAATCATACCTTTCAATCTCTTAATCTATTTTTTTCTTCGTACTTTCTTTCCCTTTTCTATCATACCAAACAACTAAAAAAATTTCTCACTTTCTTTTCTCAATCCTTGTTTCCTTAACTCTTCTTTCCTCAACTTTTCTTTTTCAAACCGAACATAACATTAGTCATGTATTTCATGCATTCTGGTTTGGCATCTTATTTATAATTATCATGTTTGGATT